CATATTTTTTTCTTTATTTTATTATTTTAATATTATTTTATTATAAATATTATTTTTAATAATATTATCCTACTATGTTATTTATATTATTATTATTATTATTATTATTACAGTATTATTATTACTATATTATGTTTAATTTTTTTTCTTAAAAAGATTTCGGGGTTCAGTTTGTTTTGCCAAAAAACGTTTCCAAATGTGGTAAATAGTAATTTTCTTACCGACAACTCCGCTGACGGATTACCTACCTTTCCTGTACTCACATATAAACATAAAAGGAATGGGACAATTAACGTCTTTAAACAGTCCTTGTTTTCCGCGTGGAAAGTCTTTAGCCATCGCCACACATTCCTCATCATAACCATTTGGCTCATTTCTTTGCCACTTGTTTATTGATAGTATTTGGTCGTTCACCCATTTCCAATCTCTTCCTTCCTTTTTCAGGCCAATGTACCATTCATTATGATACTTATTGATCTCTTGAATCTTTGAGTTAATGAATTTCCACTTCTCTTCTGTTTCCATGGTTACCAAGTCACCTCCATCTTTTCTGCACTCACCTCGGCCCTCTCTCCATCTTAATCTCTGTGTATTAAATGTGTAGCAGAAGCAATCTGTGAAACATAATAAAATAAAAGGCAAGAGCGTTAGTGACATTTACGAATTTTGTTAGTGACATTGACGTTTTTATAGTGACTCCCTCGGCTACGCCTCATGCATTCACAGCATTTTGACGGCTAGAAGACGAAAATCGTAGTAAATAAGAGGACATACCACGTAAAACTGAAGGAAATTGGCTAACTCTCCCGATATTCGGAGGACCGACCTCTTCTAGAAATAGACAGGATCTTTTGTTTTTAATTGAAAGGTGGTTTGCGAGTCAATATTATTTTTTGTGCTGGGCCTATGGGCACAGTACATTTGTTTTTGGTGAGTTAGGTATGATCGGAATTTAGTGTTACGAACATGAGACCTATATCGAAGATGCCATTGGTGGACCTCGTCATGATTGACATTGGTGAAACACGAGGTGAAAATGCACGTCGAGATCTGTCAGATCGGAACACGGAAGAGTTGAAAGAGATTGAACATATGTGGTTTTCGTGGTAAGAGTGCCTTAATCCAACTTACTTTAAACTTAATTTGGTAGTATTCTAAGCAGATAGTAATTAGAAACTGGAGCTAAATTAGAAACTGAAAGTGCAATTTTCGTTTTTTGATACAACTCGAATTAGTTACGTAAACAAAAGATTACAAATGGACAGGCCAGGAATTTCTACTGCGTCATTGTTGTAAAATAGTACTCGCACGAGTTTTATATTATTTTATTAGCTAGAAAAATGACATTTGGTTTGATTAGCAAAACATATTTATTTCTAGTCGAATATTTTTATGAAAAAAAAAATGTTTTTCATGCCGAAAGCTTGAATGGGGGGCGGGCCAGGAGTTTCTACTCGCACGAGTTATATGCTATTGTTAACTAAAGTAATGATTTTCGTTTTGGTTAGCTAAACGTATCTATTTCTAGTCGAATATTTTTATGAAAAACATGCCGAAACCTTCAACGAGTGGGTGGACGAGGAATTTACTGCGTCATAATTTACATAAAAGAGTACTCACACGAGTTTTGTATCAGTTTATTTATAGTTCCTTTCACGGTTTCCGACGCCATATTGTTTGGGGGGCAAATTTACTAAGAAGCGTAGGGAAAGAGATACGTTTTTCGCAATATTTCCATTCTGAGGTTACCCTGCGAGCAGAGTCTCCTTCACCTTCCCCCGAGAGAGAGAAAGGAAAGAGTCTTTTTTCCTTTCTCTCACTCGGGGGAAGGTAAATTTTCGAGACCAAACTTTTTCTGTAGACGGAGAATCCTCTGTTCAATGTTTTGTGTGGTGTTTTTGAGCCGATGGAGCCACCATAACGCTGGTTTTCAGAGAGACGGAGGCTTGCTTTGGGCTTGCGACCAAGACTCGTTTATGCTGGTTCAATTTGACCGTAAAAAAATCTTGCCTCGACGAATAACGTCTCTCTTCTATCAGCATTACAAAATATTCTATTTTAGTCAAACCGAATCCACAGAATTTCTTCTGTCTTAGGCAATGACTAAATCCCAAATACTAATACTCTATTCAAAGTATCCAATGTGCCTGCCCAGCACATTTGACACGTTTTCCCGTGTCAAAACTTGTTAATTATATTTTCAGAAGAATTTAAAGTTGCAATCTACCTGCTTAAAGTTATATTGCATTACAGCTCACATTAATCATATTTATAATACTTGTTTCACTGTTTTCATTGCTATACGCGCTCATCAAGACAATAGTCGCAACATCGAATGGAAATCGGGAAATGAGATTATCGTCAATAAATTTTAAATTAACCGTTAGAGTAGTTTGCCATGTATCTTCTTATGTTTGATTTTATTTTTACGATATTGTATTCGGCCCGATTTCATGGAGTCCTCAAATTTCTTTTGTGTCAAGAAAAATTGCAAAATCAATTGGAATTCTCTATAAATGCAGACATTTTCTTTCTCTTGAAGCTCTAATAAATCTTTATTATAGTTTCATATATCCGTATTTTTCTTATGGCACCTTGATTTGGGGTAGTAACTACAAATCAAGAATTTAACCCATTCACATTCTACAAAAACGAGCTCTCCGTGTAATTACGTTTTCAAACTTCAGAACGCCCAGCAGACCATTTTTTTTAAAACTTGACATCCTAAATATTTTTGAAATAACTAAATTTCAGCTCTGTGAACTAGCTTACAAACATTCAAACTCCAATCTACCAGATATTTTTGGTAACCTTTTTC